CCCTGGGCCCTGGGCCCTGTGCCCGGCCGCCCCGCTCCCCGTGCCCGGCCGCCCCGCTCCTGCGTGGGGTGGAGCCCAGGGAGAGCCGTCTGCAGGGGAAGAAGGGATCCCCTGTGCGTGGGGCCCGGGCTGCCCGCTGTAGCGCCCCTGGGCCGCACCACAGCTTGTCCCTCAGGGGACAGGGCGGCCGCAGGGAGAGGAGAGTGGAGCGTCTTAAAGCGCATCTGAGAAGTGACATCAGGGCAGATTATCCTTCCCGCTTCGTGTGGCGGTGGGGAGAAGCATTGTGGGCTCTTGACTGCTCCTGGTGCCTTTGGCTGGCACGGTGCTGGTGGCTGGGCCTGTGCTGCCTCCTGGCAGAGCTCTGCTCGGCCCTGTTGCCTCAGCTGGCGGGGGCAGCCCTGGCATCCTGAGAGTGAAAAGCAGTTCTGAGGAAAACCTGTGGTCACTCCGTTGTTGCTTCTGTGGAACTGGTGTGTTGGTTTGGGTGTGATAGTCTTTTGAGCTCAAGGAATTCATGTCAACTCACAATACCATGCCAAGGAGTGAAAGATGGTGCATGGATAAAAGGCTGCCAAGTTAGAGCCCAAGAGCCTTGGAGGTTTGAGGAGATAACTTTTGAGTGACTTTCTGTCAAAGAACTACAAATGCTGTTAGTTTAAAGGAGCAAGAGCTAATTTTCCAAAGTTGTGCATGGATATCACACAGAATGGCAGAAGAACTTCAAATCATGTTCACTATTGCACATTGATATGTAGTGTAAAACAAAACAAAGATCATCTGCTAAGAAAACACCAAACAAGCAACACACTTGGATTTTTCTTGTTTAACACATTTGTATGTAGAAATGGCCCTAAGATCGTGCTTGGACCATTGTGAACTGGGTCTCAGAAGAGATGATACACAGAAGAAAAAGAATATTTACAGACAGTTTAATTCATCTTTTATACCAAATATATTACAGTGTGTGCTACTGCTCATGCTAACACCTGTATGGGTGTCCAGACCCACGCCAAATCCTCTTCACTGTTTCTGTTACAGTGCTGCTTGTCGGCTCCCAAACGGTGAGTGTATCAGTGGCAAAACAGAGTTTCACTTAGTAACTCCTGATATTAATCTCCGGTCAGGTGCACACAAGTACTTGGCATTTACAGAAATCTCTGATGATGCTTGTGAACTAAAGGTGTGACTAGTTAAGCCTGATGAGACTAATTTGCCAGAATACCTTTGAATGAAAGTTTATGCAGATAGAGGTTCTGGTTGTTCTCTGATCAGTCATCCTCCTTGAACACCGGACTGAAAGGCACTTCCCAAATCCAGCCCCCTGCTGTTGAGACATTCTTAAACTTTTCAAGCTCCCTCTTAAAACTAATTAGGTTATTTTCCTTATGTTATTCCCACTGTGAGGCTACACCATACTCTGAACTCTGATGGCTAGAGACTTTCTAGTTTCCAGTCTAAACGTATTCATAGCAGGTATAATCCCTTTTGTCCTTGTGCCAACATCTTGCCTTAGCTTGGACAGTTCTTCTCCCTCAGTAACATTTATCCTTGATGTCTTTGCACAGTGCTGTCACATACTGTCTTTCCCTTTGCTTTTTAGGTCAAATAAAGCAGGTTCTTTTACAATCTTCCCCTAACATAAACACCACAGGAACCCATGTCAGAGGATATTCCAGCTGACATTAGCTTGTTTTTCAGATGGATGACCAAAATTACTCAGTCTGCTGCCACAGTGCACCAGTGTTTTAGAGGAAAGCATTTTATTTCCTTTATCCCCTTCTGGTATATACTAGGGTAATGTTTACCTTTTCCACCACTCTTCCGCACCAGTTACTGGTTTTCAAATCATTGTCAGCTGGCAGTAAATACACCTAGGGACTTCATTGGCTGTAAAAGGTAGTCAGTCAAACTGAGTCTTTAGTGCTGTTGGGTTCCAGCTCTCTTGTGCCAGTACTGTGGACTTTCACAAATATTTAGGAACAAGCAAGTTAAAAAGATGACTTCAGGATAGAAAAACTGTAACACACCTTTCTGGGTTTACTTGCGGTTTCTCGCAGCAAGAGTGGCAAGTCAATAAACAGAGGTTATCCTACCTGGGTGCAAATCTTGTGGTGGCTTCAACACTTTCTTCTGGGGTGAAATAAAGGCACAGAGTGAACTTAGGTATATGTAATTTTTTTAATGTGTTTTCTGGTACACACTGGGTGAGATTCCTGCTAGATTTCTAAAAGATAATTTGTTATTAGTAGAACTTAATTGTCTGTTGTTCAGAAAAGAGGTGGGTTTTTTGTTTGTTTGTTTTCCAAGGACATAAGTTGTATTTCAGCACCAGTATGGAAAAGGGAAATATGTTATAGTGATCTAGAAACTTAATTTGAGTAATGTATGTTATCTGATGGATTGGTATGCACGTGGTACTATGCAGGTTCAAATTAAATAATGGAAGTCTAAAGCAATAGGGATTATATTCAGTTAATCTTGAATTTATTTGAAACTATTTGTGATCTTTTAGAAAGTGTTTTAAAGTGCTCAAGGTGCTGAGAAGTTCTAGTCCTCCAGATTTATGGTCATCTTTCATATTTATACTTTAGGTATCAACTGTGCAAGGAACTCCTTATCTCCCTATGCAGACATTAAAGATTTGAAGGCTAGTATTTATTGGATGTGATTGATTTTGAACAGGGAAATCTCATTACAAGGGCATTACATTTTCTTGGGGAGAGGAAAAAAAAACTTAAAAAAATCCAGAGATTTGCAGCCATGCTTCAGATTTATCTGAAAAAGTTTAAGTTTTATACATAGGTAATGACCCTTTTACATGTGGGATATGCTTGCAGATGAAATATGTAAGGAGTCTGTTTGGGTAGCATGTGTGACATGTATGTGTGCCATGTTGTGTGCGCAAGTGCTCGCCCATCTGTCATCATTCCATGTCTGTTAACAGCTGCTTTTGGTGCTCTCCTGTGGATATAATTGTTGTTTCACAAGGGACAGAAGATCCCTGCTTTGGAGAGAGATGTGTTAGGTAAAGCACAGATAACTACTCATGAAGATCTAGGACTAGAAGTAACTTCTGGGTCATCTTGTTCCATCTCCTGGTTTAGCAGTCCATAAAACTTTAGTGCCAACCCTCTAATGCTTTTCTCTTATGACACTGGTCCTGCTTCTGACTCCTTGAATGTTAAAAATGTTATTCTAATTTCTGATCTAAATTTATGGATATTTGTGGCTCCTGTGCCATTTTTGGTTTTTAGTTTTTTCTGTTTCATCCTGTGTGCTTTCCATTTTGATGTGCTTATAAACAACAATATATACTGGTTTTGCCTAGTTTTGTGTAACCATTTTTCTGTTTTCCTTACCAACTGTGAAGCATTTAACTGCCCTCTAGTAAATGTGAGGGCATTGTGGTACTAAAATAAACAGAATAATTCTATAATTCTGGAGTTTTCTTTTGATTATTTTCATTAATTCTACTGGGTATATCTATATCCTGTCTGAAGAGAACACTAATTGCACTGGTTTAGTGTCCTACGGGCAAGTTATCTCAGAATAAATCCTGGTCCTTATGTATTGCACGTCTTGTCCCTTTGAGCAGCTGGAATTGCACCATAAAAAAAATAAAAATAAATCAGAGAACGTTAGAGGTTGGATGTTAGTTATGAACAGAAAACTTTTCCTGAGTTTTGGGGGCTAATCGGATGGAGTTTTAGCATAAACCTGGATGTGGCTTTGGAACTGAACCTATTCTTGATCTGGCATCAGCAGCATGCTGCTTCTGTGTTGATATTCCTCCATCCAGAGCTGTCCACTGAACTGAGTTGCCACACTGCTCCCAAGGGGCCTTTTCATCAAAGAAGGGTGATTCAGCAGTGTATCCAAATGCTCTGCCATAGTCCCATGACTAAATGACAGTTGGTAGGAACTGTTTCTCTTAACTAAGTTATGAGTGTTGACCCTCATGGTTTGGGGGAAATTGCTGAGTTTACAAGAGAAAAACCAGTGGGCTGAAAAGCCATGTTTTTCTCCATGGTGTTTTCTATTGAAGTCAAACTATTTTGCAGGGAGATCTGCCAGAAAAGTTTAGCTCACAGATTTCATCCAAATTAGGATGAATTTTCCTGGGATCAGATGCAGAGCTGAATGGGGTTCCACGTCTCATGAGCCACTAGTGCATGCATCTACCTGCTTCATAACCTGGCCTGTGAGCTCCTCCACTGTGCACTGTGCTGCCAATACCTATGTACTGGGCTTCACCTATTTAATAGTCCTTTTCCTCTTGGCTGGTGCTCAGGAGTTGGCAGTCTGGCTCCCCTCCATCTCTCCTTGGGTGTAGAGCTGAGCACTTTCCATTCTTGGCTGGCATTTGGCAGGTTTGGCAGAAATCTCTGATCTGAGTA